TTAACAGTTTGTATAACACAGAAAACCTGAAGATCCGGAAGTATCACAAGCACAGTTTTTTTTTTAAATTTGATCACGTACACCAGTAATGTTTAAGACTGTAAACCTATAAAAATTATAAAATTATATAAAAGTGTTTGGGGGACAAATCTTGCCTATATTTTATTTGATTCATTTATTCAATTTTTAATCTGTAACGGAAGTGTACATTTAATAATTTTCTTAGTAAAAAATCTTTCATTGTTTAAATTAAGTGTTGTTCATACAAATTATGAACAATATCCAGAAAATAAGTAGATGCATTTCATTGAAACCTAGTAGGATTCAAGGTAAATACTTGACACCAGGTGAGAGAGGAGTTCAGGTTCAGCGCCATAGCAAAAGTATTCCAGATTTTTCAAAATGGCGACCGTAAACAAGGACACTCAAAAAATATTAAACTATTTAAAAAGTATGAAATACTGACTTACTTTTCTCAATATTTTGTGAGTTGACCTTTGGATCTTATTACGGGGAATCGATAGGTATAGGTTTTTTACATACTCAGGGGAGATGTTTTGCCAAATGTCAAATATTGCATTAAAAAGTTCATCTTGGGGTTTAATGTCTCTGGCCGTGTTTTGAAGTGAACGTTTTAATTTCAACCAAATATGTTCAATTATATTGATGTCCGGGGACTGTGCCGGCCATGTGATGGAAGGAATGCTGTTGTTTGTCTTATATTGACACGTAATCCTGGCTCTGTGCACAGGTGCATTGTCATCTTGAAATAGGTAAGCTTTATTGGGAAAATGCCTCGCTATAACTGGCCACAAATGTTCATCGAGAATGTTAATATACTTTTGAGCAGTTATGTTGCCATCAACAAGGCACAAAGTCCCTACACCTTCGTTCGTAATACATCCCCACACCATAACTGAAATCCGACATTTACAAGGAGGGCACATGCACTGAGGTAGATATGCCTTATTTGCTTTTCTCCAGACATAAACCCTGTGATTATCTCCAATGATAACTTGACTTCAGAAAATATGATATTCTGCCAATATTGTTCCACTGTCAGTCGTCGTTTCCCTAAACACCAAGATAATTGCTTTTTTCGATTAACTTCATGTATAACCATGCATTTTCTTACAACTTTTCGTTGATATCCATTTTTTCCTTAGAAATCTCTGGACTATACATTTATGAACAGTTTCTGTAGGACATTTTCCTTCATTTAAATCCAATGTAACATCATTTAAGGTCCTGTATCTGTTGCTTTTGACAGTCCGCATAATCCAGTTTTCATCTCTGTGTGGCAACTTTCGAGGTCTACCAACTGGAGGTAAATTTTCCACAGTTCCTCGTTGAATATACTTATTCCAAACAGATCTAATGGTAGATTCACTAATGTTGAACAGACGAACGATTTCTGAAGTTTTGTGATTCTCATTTTTCAAAGTTACGATAAGATTTTTAATTTTCTCACCCAGCTCACAAGATTTGCGATGCATGGTTAAATTCTGCTTGTTTACATTCACTTATGAAAGTGCAGACAACAATTTAATATAAAATTACATCATTTCCTACATAAAGATAACTCAGTAAAAAAATAAACAGATAACTCATATTTTCCATAGAGTTATCACTTTTTTCCTAATTGAGACGTGCAAGTAAGCCGCCGCCATTTTTAAAAATCGTGAATACTTTTGCTGTGGTGCTGTATGTCGACCTTAAATACACACAGGCCGGTCATGTAGGGGGAAAAGGGGGAGGGGGTTCTTGACCTGACAAAAAGACAGTATACTGATTAGGCAGGTACATATAAGTGTCAGTTCTCTTGTCACGGGAGCGCTTCCACCTGTCACTTAGTAACAGTATTAATTTTACTCACTTCATTTCCATGCCTTAATAGGTAAGTTGTATAATAGCATCAGAGAAACAAATAAATAGAAAGGAACAACAAAATTTGTGTGCATAGACAAAATTTATGTTTCCATTATTGATAAAAAGGATAGACCTAATAAAGATGCTGCTATTTTTTATCTATGATTCATTTTTTCACACATACCTACTGTTTTATGTTTCTATAATTATCAATACAAAGTTTAAAAAAAATAATGAATGACTAGTAGATCGATTATTTCATGTTCAATAAAACCGAAAATGAACTCAAGATATTTCAGGTGTTTCTTCTCAAGGTAAAGATAAAATGCAAGGGTTTCCAAATGCACACGCAAAATGATACATGATAGAACCTGATAAACAATCTTCACGATAAATGCAAAACCTGATAAATGGAAAACACGATACGATAGGATACACGCACAATAAGATAGGATAAACGCATGATAGGACACTGTAGAATTGTTAAGAATAACGATGCAGGTACTGTATGATGAGCAAGAGTGCCTCTTCCAAAATTGTGAATTTCATGGCCCCCGGGTCAGGAGTTCTGGTGTTAGGGCGGGGCTCTATTGATTATATTGTGAAAATACATTAATTCATTGAAAATCTTCTCTGCTCTGGGGTATTAAATAAACTATTTGAGAACATAGTTATGGTGAACATGGCTGCCTTTTCAGAAATTTTGAATTTCATGGCCCCTTGGTCAGGGGTTCAGGTGAAAGGGCGGGGCTCTATTGATTAGATAATAAAATTGCATTAATTTTTTGAAAGTCTTCTTCTCTGCTCTTGGGTTTTAAATAAACTTAGTGCATAGTTATGACAAGCATGGTTGCCTCTTCCAAAATTCTGAATTTCATGGCCCCTGGGTCAGGGGTTCTGGTGTTAGGGTGGGGTTCTATTGATTATATAGGGAAAATGCATAATTTTTTTCAAAATTTTCTTCTCTGCTCCTGGGTATTTTTCAAACAGAGGAAGTGCATGGTTATGAAAAGGAAGAATGCCTCTTCCAAAATTGTGAAATTCATGGCCCCAGGGTCAGGGGTTCTGGTGAAGGGGGGGGGGGTTGCTCTATTGATTATATAGTGAAAATGCATAATTTCTTTCAAAATATTATTTTCTGCCACTGGTTATAAAGCAAAGAAACAAGTGTATAGTTATAATGAGCAAGGGTGCTTATTCCAGAGTTGTGAGTTAATGGCCAATGGGTCAGATGTTCTGGTGTAAGGATGGGGCTTTATTGTTTTTAAATAATATAGTGAAAATGCATTTCTTTGAAAATCTTCTATGTTTCTTGGCATATTCAAGGCAAACAGAGAAAAGTTTTAATTTGCAAGGGTATTTTTACCAGAATTTTGAACACATGGACCATTTAGTCAAGTGGTCTGGTCCTGGCCAGTGCTCTATTAACTTGTATTCTGCTGAGCAAAGTTATTCCCCTTTGCCTTTCACCTTTGATAATAAATCACTGTAAATAATGTATTTGCCGTAATGAATGCTTAATTGAATAAGAGAATTATGCAAGAATGTTTATTGTATAATACAAAAAATACTTTCATAGTTTTAATGATCAGGTAGACTTGGAAATAATTGATGAATAAAATTGAGACAAAAATAACTTATCTTTTTTATTTGTTCTTCAAAGGCCAATAGAGGCCAGTGTTAGAAGTAATAATATGGGGTTAAAAAATAGACATTTTGTTAAATAGTCTGCATGGTAATAGTAATAAATGGGGGACAGATAGATACTAGACCAATTATTTTGTTGATGCTAATCATACTATATTTCTCGCTTTTGGGCAACAAAGCTTCATTTATCAGTTAATGGATCCTCTAAATTGTTGTATTGTACTCAGGTGACCGTTAAGGCCCTTGGGCCTCTTGTTTAAAATAAAGAACATTTAATCTACTATTTATCTGCAATATCCATTTAATCAAGGTGAGTTTATTATTTTTGTTGTTGAACTTTTATGTTACCGTGAGAACGTAGTTCATGGCAATGTGACCGCCGACAGGGGAGGGTAGAGGTCCACCCGGAATAGGTAGTGCACCCTACTGCACGCAGGTGCACACCTGGCCTAAACACTCGGTCACTCAGTAACCATTAGACATGGTTACTGTCCTTGACATGGAATTGTCAAGGATTAAGACGTATAAGATAAATCCTTTTCCAGTCTTTATTAAGGATATATGTTCATTATATATACATATCTCTATACTGGGTCTGCTAGCTGCCTGCTCTAGTCCTCCTTACTCTCTTACTTCTAAAACTACTACTCTTGATGCCACACTACTACTACTGAGATTATCTCTTTGTTCATTAGATAAAATATAATCCTTACCTAAAGGGGAATTGAGTGATTATTTAATTTACTCAGGATTGTTTGACATCTTTACAATAGAGCGATCTGGAAAGATAAAGTGTTAATTACTGTGACACCTATACTGTCTTCAGGGTAACAAAAGATAATTGCACAGGGGATTAACTAAATTGACTTCAAAGACTAGATAACAATGTACTTAGACATATATACAACTTACAAGCCATCCGCTTAACTTTGAAATATATGGCATCTTTGTATCAATTAAATATTAGAATGAATGAAATAGAAAACTAAAGTATAAAATAGAAATGTAAATCTTGTAATATTAAAATATATAAAATTATAAATTATGTAAGACCCCTAACTCTTTGGTTAGTGGCTATAGCAAGATGCAATTCGCGAAAGATTGTGGGTCTAGAGGTAACTGCAGAAAAAAATTTTTTTTTGGATCAATGTGCAATGTACGAATTTTCTCTTTGCCTAGGCGTTGCTTTAAGAGCTTGCAGTTGTGAGTGGTGCAATGTTATCTCGGAGTCTGAACAAAAAGAATGGTACATTTCTTTGCATGTTGCATTACAAATGTACTTTGAGTGGGGCATTCATTTCTATGGACAAAATTTGTAGTTTATGACAAAAATAAGTGCACCAAAAGTTGAAAGATCAAACCTTACTATCCATATACAAGATACTCATGATACTTTTTAATGGGAAGGTCTACAGAACTTAAGTATGAACATTTTATGATATATATTAAAAAAAATGAATAAGTGTTATTGAATGTATTTGCAGGAAGCAGCCATTGAATCCTGGAATAATTACAAGAAGAGAAATGATTCGGTAATAGTGGACACATTTCATGGGTTGTTAAAATCAACAGTACATTGCCCAGAGTGTTCCAAAATATCTGTTACATTTGATCCTTTTTGTTATTTATCATTGCCAATGCCAATAAAAAAGGAGAGAGTACTTGAAGTGTTTTGGATACCTCTTATGCCAGACCGAAAACCCATACAGGTACAGTAATATTACACAGGCTGCTAATGCATATACAGCTATTTAAGAGTTTAACTCTAAAATGATGAATTTTGTCAAGAACAACATGATGAAAACACAGTTTACAGACAAGCAGGCATTAAATATTGTCCCCCTCTTTTCAGTCTAGACAAACTCCAAAAACAGCGTTTCCGGAAGTAAGAAATTGAGACTGAAAAAGACTCCGAAAAAAGAGTCCGCGCATGCGCACACACACAAAAAATGGCAATTTTTCGGAAAAAAAGATGGGTCTACAAAAACTGTCCGTGCAAAGTTTTGGAAAGTATGGCAATTATACCAGTACTCAGAAATGCTAAATAAAAGACTTCGGAAGAGATCGTATTTGTCAGATTTTTGATTTTATTTGCAAAAAAGGAGATATTTACTTTCAAAGTTAACGTTTCAAGTCAGATCAATTACAGAGAAAATGATACGTTTTGAGAAGTAAATATGCATAAAAAGGGATATATCTGCAAAATGGGACAATATATAATGTAACTGTTAAAAACTTGACTGAATTTTACACAAAAATTAGCATTCCGGTTTTTTATTTGTGCACGATATCTGAATTGGACGCGTAAGTTTTAACCATCGTTATTTACCGATTTTTATCATATACGAACAGATATTATTATGAACACATTTTTAAAACTATTATCTATCAATATGAAGACTTTAAAACCAACTCTTCTAGATATTCAGGGCACGTACAACATGTCTTCTAAAAATGAACCTGTTAATACCTCTGCTCCGTGGTGAAAAATGCAAATTTCCTGATTAAAATAAATACAAGTTGGGTGTCTTCAAAAACAAATAAAAGCACCTTTAGTGTAGGAACGACATAAAATTAAAATTAAGGAGACAATAAATTTAATAAGAAAACATTTCTTACCGGCAGTATTGAATTTGATGTCGTATATCCAATTCACTATTATGCAAGAGTTTGAAGCAATAAATAAGTCAATATTCACAAAATAATTTAATAAATGCAATTATCCATTCAACAAAAAATAAAATGAAGTAATGTTGCACTAAATACAGCCATTATGCAGCCGTATATTTGGAGAAAGCGAACGATAATCCATCGTTTGTTTACATCGGATGCCATTTTGGCGCAATGCATGATGGAGCCAAAGACTTCGTTTTCGGAGTTCACGCTGTTTTTGGAGTTCGTCTAGACTGCTTTTAACTAATAGGAGGGTATTAGTTTGGGTCTCTCTGTCCATTATACTATCTGTTATTCACTGTGGTTGTAAAACTTTTTGGACCATATCTCAAAAAATACTTTGAACTTTTGCAATAAAATTTCATTTCTTAATTTCCTATGGCCTTAAACAGACCCCTATTAATTTTGAGGTCAAAAGGTTAAGGATCAAGGTCAGAAATTTATACATTCTGTATGTACATTTATTTTTGGACAACATCTCAAAAGCTTTTTTAGCTTTTGCAATGAAATTTTATCTCACAACTGTCTGTGATGTAAAAAGACCCCTTATGATTTTAAGGTCAAAAGATCAAACTTGAAGGTCAGAAATTCATACATTGCAAAAATAGATTCCGAATAATTCCAAATAATAAACTTTAGCTTTCTTTCAGCTTTTTCAATTGAAATTTTTATACTTCTCAATGTCTGAAAAAATATCCCTATTGGTTTTAATGTCAAAAGTCAAGGTCAGAAATTCATACATTCTGTCTGTGAAGAACACTTTTTGCTGGATAATATCCCAAAAAGCTTTTGATCTTTTGCAACAAAATTTTATATCACAACTTCCTGTGGCCTTAAAAAAAAAACCTATTTATTTAAAGGTCAAAAGATTTAAGGGGAAGATCAGAAATTTATACATTGCAGAAAAAATGGTTTTCCAGATAATATCTTAAGTTTTCTTTCAGCTTTTTCAATGAAATTTTTGTATCATAATCTCAATTTCCTAAAAAAGATCCTATTGATCTTTTAAAGTCAAAATGTCAGGGTCAGAAATTCATAAATTCTGTCAATGTTTAATACCTTTGTTTCTGGACAAAATCTCAAAAAGCCTTTGAGCTTTTGCAAAGAAATATTACAAGGGTTGTCCCAGAAATATGCAAACATTTTCAATATTTTTTGTTTCATTAATTATATAAAGTTAAAAATTGGTGTGCTCCATAATTAAAGATATACACGCTGTAACTTGCATCAGTTAAAAATAAAGCCGGAAATTTATTTACTTTGTTTTCAAATAAAGTTACGAAAATATTGTAAATTACTCAATTGGAAATGAATGCATTATAAAGATCTCAAATTATAATTATTTATTATCCTACTAGGATAGTAATGCCTATATTTAAATTCATGCATCATGTGACACCGTTGCTACTATTAGATTGATAAACAAAAATGGTGTAAAGAAAATGAGGTAGGCTGTTTGGTATACAAAATAACTTTTGACATGGATGGCATACATTTTATGCTTAAAGATACTTATCTTTGAAAACAATCAGTTTTAACCATCTACAGTATTGTGCCATATATTTATGAACACACATAAAAATAGTGTCATGATTTTGAAAGAATCATAAAAAAATACAAGGTTTCTCGTAATTACACAATCTTACCATGCAAGTGTCTTACCTCTATAAATAGCTAAGAATTTCCACTATTGATCTATGACATCATTTGTTAAATATGATGTCAGCTTAAAACAAAAGGTCTCGTGAATGTAAACATGGGGAAAGGCAAAGAATTTTCTACACCCGTGAAACAAATGATTGTTGACAAATATCTGTCAGGAGAAAAATATGCAACTATTGGCCGTGAATTGAACATTCCTAGGAACAGTGTGTATTCAATTGTGCAGCACTATTTAGCTAGAGGTTCGGTGGAAAAGGCCCCAAGAAGTGGCAGAAAACGAAAAATGGACGACCGTGAAACTAGGAAACTTTTAAGAGTCGTAAAAACCAAACGTACTGTTCCGTTAGCTGGTATTATGGATATTATCAATCAGGGTAGGCATTCTCCTGTTTCACAGAGAACAGTCAAGAGACGATTGTATGAAAATAATTTTCATAGGAGGATTGTAAGAAAGAAGATCCGTATTCACGACGAGAACTGCAAAAAACATGTGGCATGGGCAAGAGGAAAGAGATTGTGGAGAGTTGAAGGAGAATGGGATAGAGTGATATTTACAGATGAGTGTAAGGTAGAAATAGGAGAAAGCAACCGTGTGTGTGTCTGGAGATGACCGGGTGAAGATTGGATGCCTGAGTGTTTATGCCCTGGTCCGTGGGTCAGAGTAAGTTTGATGATCTGGGCATGCATAACATTGAATGGTGTTGGGACAATATGTGTCGTAGATGGTAATATCAATGCACAAAAATATATAGACATACTTGATTCAGAATTTTAGCCTGTGGTAGCTCAGCATTTTCCAACAAACAATTGTATTTTTCAAGATGACAATGCGCCCGTTCATCAGGCCTGGATTGTTACTGAATTTAAACAGAGAAATGCCATCAACTCTATGACATGGCCAGCACAATCCCCTGATTGTAATATTATAGAAAACTGTTGGTTATTATTAAGAAATAAATTGAAGCAACGAATAATAAATATAAACAATGCTGCCATCCTTGAACGTGAAATCCGCCATATTTGGACAGCCATCCCAACAACATACATACAAAACTTGTATCATTCAATTCCTAGACGCCTGCTTAAAGTAGTCAGTGCCAAGGGCAATATTACAAAATTTAAGGTAAGTTTTATTATTTAATTATCAAAATTTAGTGTATTATATATGACTATAACATTCCCTGTAACTCATCTGTTTACGTCCGTTTATGTGACGTCGCCGACGTTTGTTCATAAATATATGGCACAATACTGTACTCCGTAATGACAGATATTAACTTTTATTCAAAATCGTAGTCAAAATGCAACATACCTTGTTGTCTATGATCTCCCACGGACATGCATGTCTATATACTGTTTACACACTTCCTTCATCAATATTCATGAATAGGTTGAATTCTTAATTGCAGATCTTGCTGAATTTTTTTGTATTTACAACGACTTATTTAGTAAAACTTTGTGGAAAGTAATTATTTTTTGTTACACATCATGTTTCTCAAATCATTTAATCATTTTGTTTCACATAAAAAATGTGTTTATATAGCGTGTATATCTTTAACATTTTTTACATAATTCACAGAAATTTCAATAAAATATCTCTATATAAATAACACTTTTATCTTTCATCAATGAATCATTCAAAGTAGCTGTGGGCGCAACACCAACAACCTCAACACGTTGCTCGTAGAGTTTTGGAATTTGTTCAGGAAACATGCATCTTTAAAAATTTGTTTGTAGCATAAATTCATTAAATGCATTTGATTTTCTTTTAGTTATCGAGTTATCCATTTCACACATGCTACAGTTAAGAATAAATCAAGTTTGTGTCGACAAACAACTGAGACAGTTTGAGTTTTAATGTATATTATGCAATATAAAAACGTATGTACAGACATATCACAGATTATATAAAACTGACAATTAAAAACAAATATACTTGGTGAAGGGGCAAACCCAGCTATGCAAGATACATAGAGGCATCAGAACCATGTGGCAGACTAGAGGTCCACCTGAAGCAAAACAGTGAGGTGTGCTATTCTGCCTAGTGGTAGCATGCTGCATGTTCTGATGAAGAGCTCAGCAGCTCGGTTTGTGGTGTTTGAGGTGTCAAACAGTGCTGCAGTAACCGGAAGTTGAGCTGAGAAATAGGTCTGGTCATGTCGGTGGAGAGCCAGCTGGCATGCTCCTGGACTCCTTGAGTATGAGGAGTTTGAGGTGTCAAACTGATATACTCGGGAGCCTCATGTTCACATTAGCTTTAGCAAAGCAAATGACCTGACCGCTGGAACAGTATGGAGTCTGTTTCCTGAATTTTGGGGTAAAATTTTTTGGCATGTTGAGGTACAACATGCTTATCTGGCTTCTTTTGACACCA